GCTGAAAAACCAGCCCAGGGCGCTGCAAAAGGAACGATAGCAAAACAGGTCTTAGGATGTCGTCGACGTACCGCTGTGCAGTAAGTGTACCTCTAATGACGACCAAAGGGGTCCGGCTGTCAAAGGAAATGGCACCCCAGACCATAATGCCTTGTTGAGGGCCGGTGTGGCGTGCAATAGTGAAGGCAGGATCCCCCCTCTGCGTCTCCAAAAGACATCTTCGATGATCGTCAGGACACAGTTGGAAGCGGGATTCGTCGCTAAAGACTATACTTCCCCAGTCAGTAGTCCCCTTGCTGCCAGGCTAACCGAGGGATGGTTTTCCTCTGCATGTAACGCAAACATGGGGGTTAGTTCCATCAAAAAATGTCCTCCGAGAAGGCAGAATTCCCCTTGTTTTCTGGTTCAAAATCAGAAGAGATTAGGCAGGTGAGCATGAGTAGTCCTTCTTGGATTGGCTTTTCAACGACATTTATAAAATATCATTCCTCAAAATGAATAGATTTTATTCACGTCCTTTTATGTTGCTTGAAAATTACATGTAAAATACAACAATAATTGATTGCTGCATGTGTTTCATGTAAAGCGTTAATGAAGTTCAACTGAATTATTATTTTGTCTTTCTAGTGTAATATTTTATCGATTATAGCATTTATAATCTGCATATTTTTTTTTTTACTATTCTCTGTTCTCTTATAACTGAATTTATGTTCTCTGATTTTTATATTTTCCTGTTATTTATTAGTGAGTTAGGAATAATAACATAAAAATTCGAATAATTAGGAATAATTAGTGTGTCTACTGTTATGGAAACAGTGCATTTCAAGGAGGGTAGCTGCACTCCAGGTCTGACCGAAGAAAGAGAACCCCAAGAAGAGAAGACCCTAAACAGTGACCCCTACTTGAAATAGTTATACCCAAATCACCGCCACGGGTCTAGATGAATGGCTAGGGAAGTTTTTACTTTAGACAAAGTATAGGTGGCTTTACGTTATTAGATTAAGCAAAACACATCCCATCAAAACAGGGTTGGCAAGGTTTAGGACAGAATGGATTAATTCACGGTTTAAATCCCTGTTTAAACCGTCCTGTCCAAAACCCTTTTACTCAAATTATGTCACAATTTTATCTGAACAATATTTAAGAGGTAAAATAAACATAGAACTAATAACACATTGATAGTTAAATATACTAGAGAATATTTGTTCTTAAAAGTATAATGTTTTATCAATATTGTTTGACTCTTCATCTTAAACAAAGGAAGATTAATCAGTAATCAAGTTCAATTGGTCCTCTCATTTAATAGTACACAACTGAAGTTTGGCCTTGCCATACATGTAAGATATTAGGGACTAAGTGCTTGGTTCGTCATAAACAGATTTATTTATCTATAGTACTATTCAAAAATACTTTTATTTCATTCATGTTCAATTGTTTTATCATAGCGGTGATACATCACCAGTGCCAGTAACTGATGTTATGCCCTTCAAAACTGTTAATACATTTTTCAGTTATTTTGTATTTTCAATTTAAACTAATATATTTATATTTAAAAACATTTTTTTTTAAAATAGATGTCTTTTTTATCATCCTGTGATGCAGAAATTATAACATTTTTTTAAAAAAATATTGTGAAAAATAAAAGGTTAATTTTTGAACAAATTTAGTATTTTTTTTAAGAAAAATTATTATTTTTTAATATTGCCATATTTATCCTTATGCAAAAATATTATTTATCAGTATTAAAAGCATATTTATATTTAAAGGATTAGATATTCACTTTTGTTGTTCAATGAATTGTGGAGCTTCAAAAATTATAAACCTTTTCCTATTATATTATATTATTTTCTTTTAATAAGTTATAGTAAATTGTATAAAAAATATCAAATATTTATTGATACATGTAATTATTATGTGTACAATGGTTACACCTATAGAATTTTTACCTTTTACCAAAGTTCAATGTTTTGGACACTTTAAGACAGTTTTACTCAGTTTAGGACAGTTTTACTCAGTTTAGGACAGTAAAACCACCGTCCTGTCCAAAACCAGTTTAGGACGTCCAAAACCCCAACCCTGCATCAAAATAAAGGCTAACTGTATTCAATGCTGTTGCTCATAATATTTAATACTGATCCTATATTTAATACTGATTATCTATCATAAAAAATGTGTAATTGGCACGAAATTTACTCATAAGATACTCTACCAACACAGGAGTCAATTTGATATTTATTAAAACTGCACCCAGTATAGCCCAAAATTAAACATCATTGGTGTCAATAATAAAATGAAGATTTTTTTTACAGATTTCTGTTACGTACATTTTCATGATTAACTTTGCTTATTTTTTTAAATTTAAATTAATATCTATTAATTTTAAGCATCATTGACGTAATAATTGTTGATCGACATTACATTAAACGAAATCAGTAACATTTTTCCATTAATTTTGCCTTATAGCTTATTATTTCACTTCAATTAGTAATTAGCCATAAATAATTACAGGGTATTTGCTACATTTTAAATTCATGACTTTCCACGACATATTCCAAGAATTTTTCATGACTTAACGAAGTTACTATATTCTCCGAAAAAAACACAATCAATTTAAAAGATATATAATAACATTCATTGAAATGATAGGTATATCCAAAAACTGTTACACTCTGCATCTTTATATTTATGGATTTTAAATTTAAAAAACAGAGTAAAGAAAAAGTTGAAACAATAAAATAGCTGAAAAAAATACAAAAGCAAATAATTTTTTCTTCTTTTTTTCTGCAGAATTATATTCTAAAGATAATCGGAACCAAGGATTCACCGGAAAAGAAAGAAATATTCTTGATTTTGTTGTTCTTCCTTCGGAATAAAAAAAAAAATTCGCAAATGACTGGCATGCGTCAGCTAGAATTTTAAATTTATAAAATAAAATAAAAAAATAATAACAAAATTCTGAAATCACAGAAGTTAAAAAGATAACTCGCTCTAAAAATGATGTTTTTTTTCTTTCGTTTTTTGAAAGAACTCCATCATTTTGAAAGAACATGATAAAAACATTTTATATTTTAACCAAATATGACTGCAAGTGGGGATTTTGTTAAAAATTCAGATATTCGGAACATTGGGGGGAAGGGGTAAATTTCAATTTAAAAATCAGATTCTTCAGCGACCTAAATTCATGACTTTCCTGATTTAAGAAAGAAAAAAAAAAGAAAATTTAAAATCATGACATTTCGTGACACATTTTGTTTAATATCGAAATTCATGACTTTCCAGGTGCGCAGATTGGCGTCAATAATAACGTTGGTGTTATCTTTATTGCTTATCCTCAACGAATTAGTTCCATTTCTCCATTCTTCATAGAACAAAACGTATTATTTCTTTTATTTCAATTAACGTTGACTTTAAATTATTTAGTATCATTAAAACACGTTGCGTGACTATACACAAAATAAACACGTGGTTTCAGATAAATTGGGCTAAGTCATGCCGCACTATGATAACCAGGCAAAACGAATAAAAAATAATTAAATATTACAGAAATTAATAACTTTTTATTGATTAGCTAGCACTACCTGGCCAATTATGGCACCATCTTTAAAATATTTGACAAAACTGGATTGTGTATAATTTATTTTAAAACAATGGCTTCCAATGAGAAAATTCTTTTTGTTTTTAAAAAAAAAAAGTCAAAAATTGTTCGTATTTTCAGACACCTAATTCTATATTTTCCTCGGATCCTTTTGCTTACGGCTGATCTGATGGTTTCAGAATTAGAAGATTATCGATACTTAGAATTAATTATTTCACCGTCGTTGAACAGCCAATATTTTTTGGGATTCGCAGCCTTGTCATTTTAAACCCAATACAGAAGACAAGGGAACTCGTTGAACAGGTATTGAGAAAAATTTGCCTCTTTTTGATAGAACTTACCCACCCGCCTTTGCGTTACACGGAGAGGAAACTCACAAAAACCTTCCCATGATCCGTCTACCACTGAGGATATTTTAGGTCAGCACTGTGGTCGGTGTGAGCCGGATTCGTCTCGACCCGGGATTCGAACCCGGTTCACCTTATGGGAAAATGAATTATTAAAATTATACTCAATAGGAAGTAAACTAGTAATTCTTCGGGTCAGTTAAATGGTAAAAGTCGATGTGCAAAACTTCGTTATACCCAATTGATTAGGATTCGGACACGTTTTTGGAAGAATAACTCTAATCAGTAGGGTTCGTAAAAATATGTTATTACACACAAACAACATTAAAGACGTTAAACGAAATAAATACAATACTAAATCGTTGACGTATCTCATCAACGTCAATCGAATTTTTGAGCTTTCCAGATAAAAACTATTCTAGAAGGTTCAACATTTTTGATGACATTTAAAATAAGATATGGAGCGATTCAAGTTACAAAATAATCTGTTGAATTTGAAGTTGGATGAAGGCAATTATTCATAATAAACAAACTAAGACCGAAAATAGAATCAATTGTCATGATAGTTTTATTTTCTCCAGTGCTTTTAATTATTTTTATTTCTATTTGTTGGAAATATATCACTAAATTGCGTTGAATGATATCTTATTTAATCTTTGATTCATTTCCCCCCTATTCTAAATTTGGTGTTCAAACTTCCCACTTTGTGACCTATTGTTAGCATTGTACAGTCAAACCCCGCTATAGTGAACACGGCTTATAGTGAACTCCCGGATATTGTGAACGAAATGCTCGGTCCCGTGCCTTGCTATACACGCATAATGTTATTTTTAGTGGGTATAGTAAACCAAAAAAGTGAGGAAGTTGGATATAATGAACTTTTTTTCTGTCTTCGACTGATTCCCCCCCCTCCCCCATTTTCTTTGTAATAATTTTGAAATTTCTACTTCAAAATAAATACATATACCAATTTTTAAAGCCATCTATAGAAACTGCTTTCATGTGCTCGAATGGCAGGTTGAACAGGTTTAAAAAGCGGAATAAGAGAAATTCAGAAAAAATTATCTGAGAGTCGGGAAGTGTTTCCATGTCTGATGTTGAGGATTGCTCATCAGCTAATTTTTATTTGTACGCAAGACGAAGAGTGATGAAAAATAACACATTTTTTGCTACTGCATAATATTTTTCAGTCATTAATATGAATATAATGTAATAAAAGGGCGGAGTTTAGGAACCATTAGTGAAATTGCCTGCGTAACGGATATAGTGAACTACCGGTTCACTATAGCGAGATTTCACTGTACTAACCACTTTGCTTAACCCTTCATTTAATCACTACTTTCGGCCATAATTTGTTTTTTAATCATATCCAAATATATGTACACTTAAATATTTCAACCCATTATCTATTTTAATAAATAAATAAATTTACTTTAATTCACACCTAATATTAAATGTAACAATAATTCCTTCATGAACCATTATATTTTTGATAGTAACCATCATGTAGGAACTGATGTGCCAACACAAGAATAGTTTGGATGGTTTGTCCATGTTGAACCAATCAGTAATTTCCACCATAGTTTCTTAGAAGTTGGAACGATCATGAGCCATCACAATGTAGGGACTGATTTATGATGGTTCAACATTAAACACAAATTGCTTTGATGGTATATACCAACAAGAATTCCCATTGAACTATCATGAAAATGTATAGTTGAAACCATCATGGTCCATGAGAATGAAACTTCTCCTGATGGTTAACCAGCATTTGCATTAAAATAGCACCATGAATGCATAATGGAAAAAGTTGGATGATGGTGACCATAAAATGATGTTGGACCATCACAAATCTCACTGAAACCAACATAAACCATCAAAACGTTTTGATGGAACCATCAAGATTTTTGACTTCGTCTCGTCGCACAGTGGACTGATCGTAAAGACACGTTCCAAGTAGAACACCTAAGTCATACATCTATGCCTGCATAGGGACCGAGGGTGTGCGGTATCGATCTTCGTTAAACAGTTCCATGGTAAATAAAATATTTGTAGAGCAGTTTTAATGTTCGATTCGAATTCCATTTTAACCATTCTTATTTTTACGATTTATAGGATATTAATAACAGGGTATGGTGCAAATCGAAAAAATAAAAAAAGATCGAATGGAATTCGAATAGGACAACTAAATTGCTCTACTAATATTTCATTTTAATATTTAACAAATATATCCTCCCGTTAGGTGCTTACGTATATAGTGGGAGGCCATTCAAATATTTACGTAATAATTGAATATTTACGTGTCTTTACGTAATAATTCAAATATTTACAAATCAATATCTCTGGGTGTACTGGACTGGAGATCGATCGTTTTCTGAATCAGGTCAAAATTACGATCTGTGGATGAATGAATGGGTCCGCCCTATAAACGGGAGAGACAGAAGTCAAATTGTTGGCCATAGATGGCAACACTGGAAAACAAGAACAATCACACCCCCTCTGCCTAAACAGGCATACGTCAACAACAACAGCACCAAAAGGGAGACAATTATTATTTTGGGATAGGGGGAGGAGGGACACGAGCAATTCCGCGACGCGGTCGTAAAAGTGATAAGATAATGGGTTGGACGTCCGACTAACCGTCTGAGGTTTTCCTCTCCATGTAACGCAAAGGCGGGTTAGTTCCGTCAAAAAGTCCTCCACGAAGGGAAATTTCTCCCGGATAGCATGGTAGGTGGGGCACCATGCCGAAGAGACCCGGTAAATGGTAACCGATGCGCGTTAAATCTGTCGGGTCACGAAGTCCTCCATGACAGATGCTCTGTTAAAATAGAATGAAATGAGAGTTGTTTACCTGATGGATGTGGGAGATGACCTCTGTGTGAGTACAGTTGTCGAGTGACCTTCCATTGACCTCAAGAATTTCATCGCCCACCTCCAAATCCGCACGATCGGCAGGAGATCCTGAAAACACACAAAAACGAATTCTTATCGAAAGAGAACGTGTGAAGAGGAGTAGATCTTTTAAACTGAACATAGTTCTTAAAGGAAATAAAATATTTGTTAAAATTAAATAGGAAAAATATAATAAATATTGGGATTCATATAGAACCCTCCCTTTCACTTTAAAAATGCCAGCCATGAAGTTTCAAATACTCAAAATGGTTCAAAAACTGGCCTCCTTTTTAATATCCCATATAGAATTTATTTGCGACGACATTTTAACCTGTGTCTGTTTAGAACAGTGGGTTCCTCTTTTTATAGTTAAAACCCCCAAGTTAAGAACTGCATATATGTATAAAAATTACAAAAACATTTTGTTGAAGAACTGAAATTATATCTTTTGTTTTAAATAAATTAATGACTTGGATAAACGTGATAAGATTTTAAGAGTGTATTTATGTCCGGCTCGTGAGCACTAATCATTTATTTATTTATTTTTATTTTTTTTTGTGATGAGGTTCATTAAAGGCACTGAAACTGAGAGAACAATAAATATCCTATTCCCAAGTTTGTTTATACAGAAAAAGTTTTGCAACAAACGCAGTTTTACGATTTTCGTTTTGATTAAATTTAATTGTTCATCTTGTAGTTNTTTCAAATTAGTTTCGTTAAGTTCGGCAAATGTACTGAAAATAGCCAGAAAACCTCGGTATCTTTCTACCATTGCCGGAGTACCGTCAGTAGCTACAGAAATGATATTAGTCAAGGGTATAGCTTTTAATTCAGTCAATAGCGTTTCACCTTTCGTATCGCTTTCCAAACATTTAGCAAATAACAATTTTTGGTAATCTTACAAAAGCTAAAAGTAAAACCTTCATTTCCTGGATAAGTGGACTCGTTAAGCTGTATAGCCAATTCAGATATATTTAAGTACTCACATAAAGAATTTTCTACTCACTGAGATATTTTGTCAATCCTTCTTTGTACATTATTATTACTCCATGGAATTCTTTTTACAATGTTAAAATCTGGTTTGTGCAACCCGGTGAGTATTATCTCACTTACAGCTAGTAAAATAAGTTCTTCAATAGTGTGAGTACTATTTCCTGGTGAAGAAATAAAGACATATTCAACACTGTATTTTCGGCGTTTTTTCTTCGACTCATTCATACTGTTATCTCTTAAAAAGGGACCAAAAGATATAGGAAAATTTGTAAATCAACTGTTTAATTTGTAACAAACCACTGTTAATAATTATAAGCACCCACCTTTATTTATAGTTAACTTAGGACGGAAAAATTGCTACCATTTTATTTATCTTCATTTCCATAATAATAAAAACCAATCACACAATTTTATTATTTTATATTAAACCTCACGCGGACCCCCTGACGTTGTTCAGGGACCCCTAAATCAGTTTTCATTTTTCACGCACCACCTGAATGGTACCATGGAACGGTGGGGGTCCATATGGACCACTTTGGGAAAACACTGGTTTAGAAGAACCTTCACATAATATCTTTTCATAAAAACGGACCCCCTTCACAAAATAATTTATCTTTTAATCAGATCCTTCACAAATTTGTTTATCTCCATTATTGTTTTGTTAATTGAATAAACCCTTCCGGAGGGGGGGGGAAGAAAGACAGATGTAAACAAACTAAGTTTTGTGTTCGGCAGACGCTTCTGCCATAATTCGTCCGAAATGAATATTCTGCATTCAGCAGTATAGGCTACCAAATATCTGTATGTTGCATCTCTCATTTAGTAGCAGCAATCGCTGTTTATTTTATTTAATTAATTTTTTCTAATTATAATTTTACAATGTTGAGCATAATCTTGTATCTACTTACAATTTAAAAACTCCTTGAAAAAAGTTTTTTAGCAATAATAAATACACCTGAATTTGCAATAAAAAAAGTTTGAAATACACCGGGATGTTTAAAAACCACGTTTAAATCAATAACTGCCGAAAATACAATCGAAACATTACGTAGATGTACGATACTATCGGCTTAAATAGAGTACGTCAAAAAGGAATTATCTAAATGCATGATTCAAATATTACGTGTAAATTTCTGCAGAAAAGTAAATCTTTTTTTTTACTTATCTAAAGAAAAATCGTTCTGCAAGAACTTTGTAACGTTCTGCGACTATGTCATCGCGATTCTGCCACGGGGGGGGTTNGGGGGGGGGGGGGGTAGTGCTTATATACAGGGTATCTGCTACATTTCAGGTTTTCAAATTCATGACTCATTCCAAGAATTTTTCATGACTTAACGAAGTTACTATTTTCTCCGAAAAAAACACAACAATCAATTTAAAAGAAGGCATTATAATAACATTAACAGAAATGATAGGTATAACCAAAACAGTTACACTCTGCATCTTTATTGGAGAAGGCTAATATTTTCTGGAACAGGTATTTTTCACCTGTTATTTAATCGTACCTGTTATAAAAATAACAGGTTACTTAGAAAGGCCTGTTCCAAAATACTAGGCAAACAATTATCTTGCCAAAAATGTATTGCTTGGCCACCGTAAGCGCATATATATATTGTAAAAATGAAGAATGGCAACAGCGGTTATGTTTTAGTTTCAGTTTCGATTTTGTGATGTAAACATTATTATTTTGTAGAATAATACGATATGTACGTGAACGTAGTAAGTTACGAGTGTACTTAAACTCATGTTTGTGAAAATTGCAACACCATGAAGGACTTACGCGAGTGAACTGAAATTTTCAGGAAGTGCAAAGTAGAGCATGATATGCAAATGATTAGAATTTCAGACCCGTAGCGCATGCGTAAGCTGAGCAACGCCCTCTGAACGGCTGATGGAACCGAATAAATAGACGGCTGTAGCAAAGCGAGTATGGTAATCGGTGGTTATCTGCTAGTGGTAAACGTTAGCTCAGACGTTATTCATGCCTCTTCGACGAAAGAGAGCGAGATTTCAACAACTTACGGAGTTTAAACGGGGAGAATCATCGGCCTTCGTTAAGCAGGATTATCGTATCGTGCAGTAGCCGCTCGTGAGCAGCGTAAGAGCAGCACAGTGATGCGTGTTTGAAAGCAGTTGATGGACGAGTGTCGGACAATTTAGAAATGCGGAAGTGGACCCCGAAATGTCACGTCAGCTCGCGATGATAGACACCTGTTCGGCGTTGCGCTAACGGACCGTGCGGCTCCCTCTAGACTACAGGCAGCACAGTGGTCAATATCTACAGGTGTTTCATTGTGTGCTTTATCAATTCGTAGACGTCTGCTGCAGCGTGGACTGTGCGCAAGGACGCCTTTATACAGGATCCCCCTCACGCTAAACCGTAGCCGCCTGCGGCTGCAATGGGCCAACCAGCACAGGGACTGGCTTGCTGATTGGCAGCGTGTCGTGTTTTCTGACGAATCTCGCTTCAATTTGTGGTACCATTATTGCCGCATTCGTGTCAGACGCTATGCCGGTGAACGCCATCTTCCGGTATGCGTTATCGAACGCCACAGTGGGCGAACACCCGGAGTTATGGTCTGGGGAGCCATAGCATATCATAGACGATCTCAATTGCTTCGAATTGTGGGTACTCTGAACAGCAACCGGTACATCAGTGAAGTTCTAATGACCCAAACTCTTCCCTTCCTTCAAGCCTTGCCAGGTGTTGTATTTCAACAGGACAATGCCCGCCCTCATATTGCTAGGACTGTTCAATCCTTCCTTGTATCGCGACAGGTACAACTTCTTCCTTGGCCAGCGTATTCCCCGGATATGTCGCCGATTGAACATGTCTGGGATTTCGTTGGTCGGCGTGTCGCTCGTAATCCTCGTCCTGTTGCTTCTACTGACGAACTTTGGGTACGCATACAAACAGTATGGAATTCTCTTCCTCAGACAGACATTCAAAATTTGCCTGACTCAATGCCACGTCGTGTAGCAGCACTTATTGCGGAGCGTGGTGGTTACACAAAATACTGATTTCGATCTCTTGTTACTGTTTGTTTGCTTTGAAAGTTTTATCATTTATTTGTACCACTACCACTCAACCGTGTATTAAATTTCATTCAATTATGACGAATCCTTCATGGTGTTGCAATTTTCACAAACAGGAGTTTATATTATCAATAAATATTGTTTTTATTTTCTATGAAGATTTTATTAATGTTAATTCAGCAACATTCGAAGCCAACACACGCTATATCGAAACAGCCTGTTATTTTTTCACAGCCTAGTATTTTGCAACAGCCGATATTTTGTCACAGGCTAGTATTTTGGAACAGGCAGTATTTTGTCACAGCCTAGTATTTTGGAACAGGTAAAGCAGGTTAGTATTTTTGAACAAATTTCTATTCAGGAATAGGCAAGAATTTTGTGATAGCTTTGCCTACTATTTTGCAGGTTAAGTTTATTTGTAAGAATGTCGCCCCTGCCCTTTTGATGCTCGGGCATATGGGGGGGGAGGGGGCGGTTGCTTATAATTGCATTTTCCTTGTTTGAATTTTTTTTTCCTGCGATGTAAAAAGTTGAAGCATTTAAATATTTTTCCTAATTTTTTGATATTGATACATATTTTCTACATGTAAAAATTTTCTACAAAATAAGAGTCTTATTGTCTCATTTCTTCTCTCCTAAGTCTTACTCTCTCTCTTTCACCTTTTTTTTTCTTTCTTTTTTTAAGACAATAAATATTTTAACTTTTTATTTCCTTATAAGAAGGATGTGTTAAAATTGTTAAAACTATATTTAGTATGCGAATTCAAACTATATTTAAACACTTTATTTTCTTTGTATCAAACACTATATTTTTTCTCCCAATCTTTATCCTTTTTTACATCTACTTAAATATGCTGAACTTATGACGAAGCATGAAAGGTAGTACAATAGTACTGAGAAGATGAAGGGTAGTAGAATAATATGTAAATATTTTTTAAGCAAAATATTTTATGAATGTGATTTAATAATGAAGCTTAGTTATAAAGTTTTAAGGGGCATTAAATTTATATATTTTATACATTTAATGAAAAAGTCAGAAT